ACTGACAATGATAAGCAGATAGGACAACAGGTGCTAGATCACTAGTTTGGCTTGAGCCAAGTTTCTTGAGCCATGCGCCGATACCTTGAGCTCTCTAGACTTCCACTTGGTGAACTATGTTCGCACAAGCTTCAGTCTTACCCAGTAGGCTGAGCCATCCTGAGTTCATAGCTAGGCATGTGTCATCATAGCTCGTACTGAAATTGTACAATGCCTCGATGTCTCTTCACACCCCCCATGAATGATGCCTTCGGCTTTGCTCACGCAGGAAGAGAGACGCTAAACGTATGCTCAACGGTGCGTGATTTAGCAGTGCGTACTTTCAGCCTTAACTATGTTGACGTGAGACATGTGAGCGTCGAGTGCGATCCCTAGCTTTGGCCTAAGTGAAGGAAGCACAATCTCGAAGAAAGCATATGCACGAAAAGTGGTGCATTGGAATCATGTCCACATCCGTTCATGTACGCTCCGATGATGACAAGGTCCTGGTAGACGATCACCAATTGCGTCTGTCCCGGTCCCAACGTCGGTCACCTTGATATCCGTCCCAGCGCTGTTGGTATGTGTCCTGGTTGCGACGTTTGCGCTCTTGGGGATCAGCTGCGTTTGCTCTGCTCGAAGGTTTCGGTTTTGCTTTGGGCGCGACCTCAGCTTCCTCCTCTGCCGTGAGGGGCGTATCGAGGATGCTTGTTCTTCCTGGTGGTAGCAAGCTGCCTCCTGGAAGATGTTGTAGAGCATTGGCTTGATAAACGCTTTCTGGTCCTCGTTGACGAGCTTTCGTCAGTTTGAGTGTGTACTTGTGCTGGATCGGAATGCTCAAGTCGACCATCATCGTGATGAGCTGTTAGTACAATCCTTCGGTCCTCAAAGTTGGCATATCCCGAATGGATCGATGTTGAAAATGTAGCTGGGAGAATGGTTGCTGCGCGGAGAGAGCATGCTGTACTGTCGATATCCAGTGACCTTGGCCACGAGCTTGGACAACAGTGCAGCGCAACTGGAGTGCACCATGCTTGTATCCACATCATTCCCTTCACGAATGTGATTGTCGACCATGAAGTGTTGTCGTTGGTAACCAAGTTGCGGACAAGCTTGGAAATGATCTGGTTTGTTCGGAACCGTCCGAGTGCATGATCACCTGTTGGATCATCTTTCTCTCTGCGACCTATGCCATGGTGAAGAACTTCCTCATCATTGAGTTCACGAGGTACTCCAGTCATTGGATTCACTTCTGAGAGATTTCCCCGCTTTCCTAAGGAATCGTGGCGTTGTCCCCGATTGAATGCTTCTCGAGCTGCTTGTACCGGTAGTTCAAGCCACCTTGCGTAGGACTGCCAGTTCTTATACATCAAGTGTATAATGATGTAGGCCATGTACTTCGCATAGTCCCAGTGTGGATCCGTGATGTTGGCTGGTTCCGTATTGTTGAATATATTCACTCTGAGTCCTTGTTGATAATGAGCAAGTTGTGGATCAATGTAGAACTCGGTGTCAAACAACAATACAGGAGCTCGTGATTGAACTTCTTGTGCATGTTCTTCGCCACCTTCCCCGTCTGGTGGTTCTTCAACATCCATATCAAGGTCCAGTTCTCCTTCAGGTTCGGCGATAGTATTCACATCGTCATGACCCATGGCAACGTCGTCGTCGTGGTCGACCTCCGGTTGCGGTTCGTCCTCCATCGGCTCATCGTCATCAACATGAATGACTGCTGCTGCTTCGCGAGCACGTGCGATGGCTTCGTGAGGAATGTCCATTGGAGCGTCAGCACTGGCTTCGACACGTTGATATGTGCCGCGAGAAATGAAGACGGAAAAGCAGAATGTGCATCTCGACAAACAAGAAGGTGTACCTGGAGCCTGCGGGGCCTCTGTTTTTAGGGCTGTCCAGCATGTTTAAGCTCAGGTCACAAAGTTAAATACGGGTTGCAGGTGTTGAAAGCAGGGCACAGTCCATCATGTGCAATCCTTGGGCCTTCAGAACCTCAAAAACAAGGAACAGAAAACACCATCGGGACCTCTTAAAAAGCTTGTAGATCCTCATTGCCCCTTACCTTTCTGAAAAACAATCCAACCCTGCTAAAACTCCGCCCTTCCTTTCTCTCCACTCCCTGGCGGCCTCGGAGATCCTCTTGCTGCTGGCTGTGCCGGGAGCCCCAGCATCGAACAGTATGTGCTTATATTCTTGAAAGGCTGACTTAATTAACACCTTAAGGATCTAGGCCCGCCCAGCTTGCAGTTGGTCACTAGTGGCCAGCAATGACCTTTGTAGCACCCGTAGGTGAATCTTGGATGCATGGACCCGCCGCGAAATGCGGCACGGCTTCCCAATGTAGTCTTCCTGCTGTTGGTTGGCAGTGGAAATCGGGTTTTCAACCCAGTCAGACAGATCAGCTTGCCGCACTAAATCGAAAGCGTGATGATCTGGCATGTGTCCCTTAGGGACAAGCGTAAACTTGTCCATCTTGCGATCGAAAGCAACTGCAGCACACCTACCATAAAGTACGAGGAAACGGTTCAACATGTTTCCCAGCTCCCGTGCTTTTGCTGCAGGGATCCAAAACCCTCAGAGTACAAGCTGGAAATGAAGATGTTCATGACGCGGGTGCATTTTGCCTCGGTGTTGCACAAGTCTAAACTGAAGGTATATACCTGTTAACAAAAACACCAGCTTTCTATAGTGCGTATATTTTAAACCAAACGGCAAACCATATACTCATTGTACATAGAAAGGGGCCACTGTCCTCAACAAGTAATCCTCATCAAACTTGCCATCCACGAAACGAAGACAAAAGTCCTGGAGGTAGAGCATGAGGTGGGTGGACACCAAGGCCTTGTTCCAATTCCCGTGCGGCTGGCTCTGGGCGCTGTCGAACGAAATTGTGTCACGATTGATTTCCTTCAAATAGGGAGTGATTCCGGGCGTGGAGCAATAGTTCAGGTAGTCTGCGGTCAAGAACTGAAATTTCAGCTCTATCGTTCCGGCCGGGATCAAACCTGGCGTCACAATCCACAGGTGAATCGCATTTCCGATGAAGTATTTCGAGAGCTCGTTGTGCCAGTTGTGCCAAAGGTCCGTGCGGAAGAACAAGGGCTCGGATGTTCTGTCAACTGGTATGGAACCAAGAATGGCTGGGCGGTTGCGCCACGGCGTGTCGCTCAAAAAGGTGGTGCGCCACAAAGAGGTCTCGCGATAGTCCTCGTACGGGATGGCATCCGGAACTTCCTGCCCGGCTTTGCAAAGCCAACATATCCCAATGCAAGCATTCTTTGACGTAGCACGCTTGGGAGCTCGAAGATAATGTCTCTCAAAATTTCCGACTTTGGATAAAGCCGGAAGGTCGCCCTTCACGGCCAGGAGCAAGACCCACAACCGATCATCTCCCCGGGTGTTCTGGACACCACTGATTGCCAGCTCTTCCATGTCCTTGGAAAACACGGAAAGCACTTTGTCGAGCACAGCCTCATCCTCTTGCATCACTGATCGCAGCAATGAGCAGAAGAAAAACTGTGTTCCCCACGCGTTGCCAATGTAGTTCATGCCCATTGGGTTTTCTTTGATGATGGGTTTCTCAACCCCCACGCGGCGCTTGTATGAAGCTGTTCCCCGCCCCAAAACTCCGTGCACGGGAAGCACAAAGAGACCCTTCGACTTGTAGGTGCGACGATTGTCAACGTGACAATAAACTGGTATGGTTTTGCGAAGATCGACACGTCCTTCGCGACTGAGGTTGAATATGTCATGAGCTGGATGTAGTTTCTCAAATCTGCACCAGAACTCTTGAAGAAGTTCTGGTCTCTCCTGAGCTGGCACTCCAACCAGCTGCTCAACTTTGTCGTTGTCAAGCAAAAACTTCACCCATTCCGAAAACGGCAAGTACGGGAATTTCTTGAGTTCCCCAGGGCCAACGTCTATCGTTTTCATAGCTACGTCCGCACTAAGGCCGTACTTGTGAAAAAGCTTGTGAGCGGGAGCCTCTGCATCATTCAGTTTGATTGCAGCAAACTCCTTCAAGGCAGGTGTCCCAACTCCACCTGCTTCGTTCAGAGCCGCCTGCGCCTGCTCCACAGCGAATTTGCATGGAGCCTCCGCACAGGAAACAGATCGCACAACAGAACTCCATCTGATGCTCGTGGTGCTGCACACATGCCGACTCGCTCTCTGATGCAGTGATGCTCATGCAGTGATGCTCTGGCACGTGTTTTCCTGCGGCACAAGCTCCCCTGTAGCTCTTGCCACGAAGTCCATCTACGATTGCACATTGCGGGCCAGGGTACTTCAGTTACACGAGTCAGCCAGAATTATAAACCTGCAGAGAAAATCTATCCACCTAATCACCCCACTCTTTTGTTCTGGTCAGCTCTACCACCAACGACATAGGTGTAGAATGGTCCCACTGCGGTTTTCCGATTCAGGGCCCCTTCCCCGCCACTGCTGGGTTTGTTCTGACAACCCACGGAATCTTGGTAGAACAAGATGAGTGCAGCCTCCAGCATGTGGGTTTCCTTCACATCCATACTTGAGTGAATGACCCACATGTTTGTAAAATGCTTTGTGCGATAGAGCACGAAGCGAGGGACAGGGTTGGAGGTCACACCTATCTTGAACACAGTTAAGCTGATGCCCACACTTTCTCGGAAAGCATCAATCATCTGCTTACAATGAAGTAAGATGCGAGAACTAGTTATCGAAAGTCTCTTTGGGGGCATCAGGCACTTTGTCAGGCCATGTTCACGAAGGCTTTCCCACGGCAGGTCAGCTGGGTCAACTGTTGCAGCGAGATCTTCTAAGCAGCAATTTCCGGAGCCCGAAGTTTCAACCTGGGATCAATGGGCAGCAGCAGTTACCACCGACCCAGAAATAATATGTAAGTTAAAACTCGTGCAATTAACACTTGTCATGCCCCCTCCTATTCAGCAGGAAGTATTTGTGTCAGTTCCCCCGACATTCCAATCATGTCGTAGCTATCTTGGTTAGGAGAAGTTCTGCTTCTTGTAGCGCAAGCAGCCATACAGGTTGTAGAGAATGCCAAATACCCAAAGCCCAAGTAAGACTTCACACCAAGCATGAAGATATCTTATAACTAAGACTACAGAATTCCTACGTTGCACAGAAAACTCAGGCTGAAGCTGAACCAGACAGATACAGTTTACATGATCTTAACCTCTAGAAGCCCGAGTGAAACAATCAACCTGCATCAATTACCTAAGGAATTCCCGGGCCGTGATGGTGTACTGCTTTGCGAAGTAAGTCATATACCGACTGACTTGACATGACATGAAGAGTGCTCGAAGTAAGCTACTATATTGTCATCTGTTCGACCAAGATACCTTGGATGCCTTGGAACTTCTCGGGGGCCAGAAGCTCTCACTTGCTGGGGGCTCGGGTGTTCCGGAGCTGGATGAAGTTGACCAGGTTTGGCTGGGCCTAGGTGACTGGGCCAAGAAGTTCAGCTTCACAACTGACTGTGTGCTGGTCCTGAATTGGGAAACAGGTAAAGCGGGGCCAGCCTAACTATTTGTGGGTACCTAGCTTTATGGGTCAGGTAGTGTATGTGACACGTAGACTGCAAACTAGGTTTGCGTGCAAGTCCTCTTTTTTCGGCCGCATGATAGGGCAACTATGCGCGTATTGTACCACCTCGCAAAGCATCGAATCGGTTCTAATGCAGCATGGTGTCCATGAAGTCTCGCCGAGGAAGCCGTCATCAGGATATGCAGCACAGCGTTTCTTGCCAGTTATCGGGCAGTCATATGTCAACAGGTCCAGCAGGAAATCATCTTCCACTCGGGTCGGGGTCTACAAGATTTAATGATGTCCTTTATAATGTTATGGGCACAGTTTTAAGTACCTACGACTGACGAAATAATGCAACCCATCCACATCGATTATAACTCTATAAGTTTGTATGGACCCACAATTTGACAGGATATCCTCCTGGGGGTATTCGACCCTTTGAAAGACAACTTGCATGTTTGGACAGCCAATGCACATGCACAAGGTCCGAAATGAAGGATTTCATCGCACTAGGCCACTAAGCTGCAGAACGACAACAACTATATACATACACACAATACATACTGGAGTGAACAGTGATGCTTCGTAACAGATGTACCTCTTCAGCTCTAGGGCAGGCAGTGGCTGTGACAGAAGGCAAGCATCGCGGAGTGAAGGACCATGTAGCCTCGATCCCGGATAAGCACACCATAAGCCAGAAACCCTCATTACATCCCTACCCAGACAATGTACAAAAGCTCCGAAGCGAAGGGGCATTGAAGTCTCTATGCAACCTACACAGGAAGCTTATAGACTCCGTACATATTTGCATAATTACATGACAGGAATTGTAAACATACATAGCTAGATGTCTAGAAGATCGACAGATAGAAAGATAAGTAGATAGATATGAACATAGATAAATAGTTAGATAGATAGATAGGTCTAGAAACACCAGTTGTAGAACCTGTATCAACCCCTTAACTTGAGCCTTACTTATCCATATACCTGCTAGTTCTCGTCGAATGCCACGACCAATACAAAGCCTCACCATCGACTTGCCAGTGCGCATATGACCTCGATCTACATAACCTTTTGAGATTACGATGCTTTGATGAAGACCAATCCTCTGCCAAGGCGGGAACTCCTCTCGCGATCAGCTTCGCCAGATTTCGAACAACGGGACCAGGCTCCCATCCTGGCTAAACACAGGGTGAAGGCATTTCGGGGTATGTATATATATATATATAGGGTCTCAAGGGTGCAAGGGTTCAAGTTCAGAGGATCAGGCTGGAGGTTTTGGGACAGGTTTAAGTTCACTTTAACGTTTTGCGCTTTGCAGACGGCCGATATGCAGGCTGTGAAAGGATTTGGGACTTCAGGCTTTTGTTCAGAGCTTCAGGGTGTGCTTTCGAGTTACTCCAGACTCTGTATATGCATACAAGGATCTCCTGATTGAGATAAACACATACGTCTGCATATATATATATATAACTATATGTATCTACACACATGCATACGTACATACACACATACAAGCACACATACACACATACACACATACACATACACACATACACATACACACACACACACATACATACCTACCTACCTACCTACCTACCTACCTACCTACCTGCCTACCTACCCACCCACCCACCCACCCACCCACCGACCGACCGACCCACCTACCTAC